GAACGGGGAACTGTCTGTATCAAGTCTCATGTCAGGTAATCTACTGTACCTGCCGGATTGTTGCTGATGGAAACAAGACTCATCACTTTGTCTGAGCCCAGTTCCACTTCAGGTTTCAGCACTGGGATTCATATTCAGGGAACACACTTGGAGCAGCGTGGATTCCAAGGAAAAGAAAATAATTGTTCTTTGTGGATCAGGGAATGTGCATTTCTCTCAATTATAGCTAGGTAGAATATATGAGGGCCCATAATTTCATGAAAACACATCAGTTCAGGATAGGAACTGGGAAAATGCTGGAAGCTAATTGGAGGGGATAAGGTGGAACCGGCCCTTCCCTCTCTCAGGCTTGCCTAGGTTTGTTCTTTTAACTAGCGGCACTTTGAATGCATCCTCTGGGCAGATACCTCACCAGGGTGTGTCCCACCTGCACTGTATAAAGTTGAGTCACCAATTGTTGCAGTCTCTATTAACTCTCTGGATGCTGAATGTTTCTTAAGCTTGTGCCTTCCTAGAAGGGATGAGCCACCATTTCCATCATGTCAAAACAGTGGTGGTAGACTAATAGGGATGGCAATCTAACTTATCTGGAGATCATTCGGTTGGAAAGGTGGGGGCTTCAGATGTACAACTCCATTTCTTTTTGAAAGGTGTAGTTTAATTCAATTCTAGTGACTTTCTGAACACATTCATGGCATTGTCTTGGCAGTGTTCCCAAGGTAGCTGGTCTGTGTATTCTGCTAAAATGTCTTAGTCTACAGCTTTACTATTCCCTGGAGGAATCCTATCAGCCAGGCCTGACTGATCCTATGTAGCTTCCAAACCCAGACAAAGTCAGAGAAGTGCTGCCATCAGCTGAGACATGTACATTTTTAGAAACTAAAGGATATAAATTGTCATTGGGTAGCATGGCAGTATAGTATTAGGGGTCAACGGTCTAGTAGGAGAATAACAATGAAAATCTTTAAAAACAAGTATGATCCAGTAACATCTAAGCCAAGTACATAGGAAACTGTTTTTTGATGAGACTATTAGTCCATCTAGATCAGCTTTGCTAATCAGCTCTGCCAATCTACTGCCCTCCCGGTATGTTGGAAGTATAATTCAAATTTCCCAGCTGGCAAAGCCAAAAGGCCGGTATATTGAAAGTCGTCATATTGCTGAAAGTTCATCACAATCAATAGTGTTTGGCAATAAGTCTTCAGATGTAAAGATCTGACTGGAGACATCAAGGATTGAATCTGAGAGCCTTTAGGGCCACAGCCATAGGTCTATGGAGGGAGGGGGAAGGTAAGGGGGCAGTCAAATGAAAAAAATATGACTACAATGGAAGCCATGTACAGGTACATACTCCTGAGGTGGGCAGTGAGTGGTTGCCAGTAAGATATTGGTTGCTTCTCCAGCTTAGAAGGGTGGCACATAAATTTAATAAATAATATACATGAGTAAAATAAGAATGCTGCCACTTACTCCCTCACTGTAACTCTGGTCCAGTCAAAGCAGAATAAAATATGGGAGTGGTTTGGCTCAGACTTATTGCTGTATGGATTTGTGGAGCTGCTACAGAATTCCACCAACAGAAGACTACCATAGATGGCACTAATCCAGTTGATCACTCCCTGAAGTGCCATTGCAAAGGGAGTTTCTCTGAGAGGAAACTGGGTTCATATACATGCAAAATCAACCACATTGTGGCTTAACGCAGTTCATATGCCAGGATATGTAGTGCTCTCTAGGCCAGTGTTTCTCAACCTTTGCAACTTTTAAGATGTGGAGAACTTTAGTTCCCATGCTGGCTAGGAAATTCTTAAAATTACCAGGGTTACCAATCTTAAAATTTTCAAGGCTGAGAAACGCCATTCTAAGCAGTTGTCCTGGGGCAGGGGTAGGCAACCTTGGCTCTTTTATGACTCATGGACTTCAACTCCCAGAATTCCTAAGCCAGCCATGCTGGCTCAGGAATTCTGGGAGTTGAAGTCCATGAATCATAAAAGAGCCAAGGTTGCCTACCCCTGTCCTGGGGCAACAGTTATTTTCCCCTGATCAAAGGCCTTTCCATATACAAATGGTCCTCGACTTATATTTAGTGTGACAGTCATTTAGAGTGACTGAAGTTACAACTGCACTGAAAAAGCTGATTGATTTTCACACTTACCATTGTAGCATTCCCCGTAGTCATGCGATCAAAATTCAGATGCCTGGCAACCGACTTATAAATACATAATGTTTGCAGTGTCCTGGAATCATGGGATCACCTTTTGTGACCTTCTGACAAGTAAAGTGAATGGGGAAGCCCTATTCATTTAACAACCATGTTACTAACTTTGAATATTTGACTTTCCCTTGTCCCCACTTGTGTTTATCTCATGGCAAAACTATGGTAAAGGAAGAATAGAAAAGAGATTCAGAGTATTGGAAAGCTGTTTTTTATCATTTTTACATTGTCCAGCTGGAGGGAGTGCTAGCCAGCTCATGAAAGGGGAGATGAGGACACCTGCAGTGTGCTGGCACATAGAAGCACAAAAGGGAGCGAAGGCATTTGGAAGGGCCAAAATTGATGGACAATCACATTTTGATCTTCAATTTCAAGAGGGATAATGATGTTTCTAAAAGGTTTAGATAATAGATGGAGATGACTTAATTTTCTTTTCCTAGTACACAAAGAGAAGAGAAGAGATGAGAAGTTTCTTTATGTTACAAGTAGTATAAGTGCTGGATGTTGATCTGAAAAAAGAGCTGCTGCTTTTTTTTCCGCAGAGAGCTATATGGCCCCAAGAGTCCCCCCACCCCACCCCCCGAAAATAAAATAAAATCTGTTGTGGACCAGGACTTGCTTGGAGTCTGAATGCTGTCATGAAACCAATCTGTCTTTGTAGGATTCCAGAGTGTTAGCTCCAAATGCAGGCATGCCTAACCTACAACTCTATCTCAAAGAAGTGTTGAAATAAAAATCTTCATCAGAGTCCAGTTCAAGCCAGGAATAAACAAAATGGAGACTGCTCTAGAAAGAAAGCTCTTGTTTATTTAGTTGCCAGAAACTTCAGTGACAGCAGAATGTTTCTGGGGTGGCTGACTACATGGAGCTGGGTGTGGTGAGTTTTTATACCTTCTTGGGCTTTTGTGTTTGGAGTTATTCTTGTTCCTGTGGCATGAACTTTGACCTGAGGTTCAGTGTGCCCTTTTGGTATTGTGATAGTGGTGGGTTAATCCTATTATGTCCTAAAGGTCATGTCTGCTTCCCTGGGGCTGTGGCTGATGGCTATGTGTGTTGGATTTTTTTGGGGTGAGGGCTTGTTGGTTCTAATCCTATCACTCTGCTATTGTTAGCTATCAGTTTTGCTGCAAGGGATTTCAAAATATTTTGTCTTGAATAAGCTTCTGCCTGTTAATATTTGCTCATGAACGGGGCCTCAGTCTTTCTGAATAGGATTATCAAATCTGCATTTCTATAGAGCTGGTTTCTGCTTGGGGCAGAGAGACTTGGGGTGTGGGGGGGTTCTGCCTAAGATTTTCTATTATTCCTTTGGGGAAATATATTCTGCTTTTTTTTAATATCCCCCAAACTATTTCCTTCTGGGGGGGCGGTGCTGTCTTCCTACAGAAGGATCTTCTTAAGTGGGATGTGTTGCTGATTAGTCAGAAAGGGAAGTTCAACCCTTCCCTGTCTAGAGGAAAAAGCTTTTGTATTCTTCAACTGGGAGTGATCACTGGTGGAAAGGAGGAAAGCAAAACGTTAGCTAGGCTGGGAAAACTGAGACTATCTCACTTCAGCCTCAGATTTAAGATTGGAATTTCCAGAACACCAAACAGGAAGTTACAGGAAAGGCTGAATCAAAAAGGAATTTCTGATTCAAAGGAACTATCACTTAGATACTGTTGCAATGGTTCGTGAAAGCTCTTGCCTTTTAATGCAATTGGTTAGTCAGAAAAGGTGCTTCCAGAATCCTCTGGATTATTGTGATTATTAGTCTTTTTACTACTCACATAGCTCTCCTCCTACAATGTCTACAGTTAGACAAACACAGGAAAAATGCCTACTTAGCATTATGCCAAGGTCTTTCATTACTTTCTGTGGGCTGGTTAAGCTTTTTTAAAAAAAAAACAAAAAACAAATCTGATCTTTATTTAATATATGCAAGATTGGTTATTGTATGTCTGATGCACTTTAGAATCTCTGTGCAGCAGAATCTCCCTGTTTATAATAATTTCATCCTGTGATCTGCCAGGATCTTTATAGCAGCCTATGAGGGATTCCTTTAAGATGTTCTCTGTGATTTTTAGCAGTATTCTATTTTAATTTCTTCCACTCTTTGACTAAATTTCAAAGATAATTTTTTACATTCTTTTTTTATTTAACAAAGTTTTATTTTATCTATACCTTTATTCTGTTTTAGTAATCTTTCCTCCTTCTGTTGGCCAATAAGGCAACTAGGTTGTGGGCCCATGTCTGATTACCAGGTTGGGGAGAAAGTGGACGACTCCAGGTTAAGGTCTCTCTCTGGAAGATAGGTGGTTGACAGTATTATCAGGAAACCAGGAAACTGAGCCCATGGTGAAACCGGAGAGCTTCTAATAATCCCAATTATTCGGTTATTATTATTCATTATTTATAAGTAATGCCAACTATTTATTTAGGGGAGTATAGTTCTAGGAAATTACAAACAAGCATACTGCTAGGTGATAGGCAAGCACGCATATCTCTTCCTACTACATTACTTCAGCTTCATTAATAAAATTATTGAAAAAAAAATTATCCCTGCTTCCCTCCGGTTTAAAATAGATACATAAAATGCTGAAGGGTTGGAACGTTTTTTTGTTCTTTGCTCCCTTACAAAACTCTGGAGTCTGTGGGCTGGTTCAGATAGCCTCAGGAACCAGCTTAACCAGTATTGGCTCTAAAACTCAATTGTTTCTGGGGAGTGAGTGACACAGCGCCAGCTCTGTTTGCTCACGATCAAATGAGAGATCGAGACACAGGAGTAGCTAGCCTTGCTGGCAACTATGGGTGCTGCAGAAAAATCATCTGGAAAAGTCCAGATGTTGTAAGGTGGTGCCTTGAATATGGTCAAATGGGAAGGGCCGAAGTCTCCAGGGAGACTGAGAGCTCGTTTGAAGTCTATGAGTTGCCTCCGTATTAAATACAAGTAGTCCTCGAGTTACAACCACAATGGAGCCCAAAATTTCTGTTGTTGAGACATTTGTTAAGTGAATTTTGCCCCTTTTTATGACCTTTCTTGCTTCAGTTGTTGTGAATTGCTGCAGTTGACAAGTTCATAACTCGATTGTTACATGAATCTGGCTTTCCCATTGACTTGGCCTCTCAGAAAGTCACAAAACATGATCACATGACCTTGGGACACAGCAACCATCATAAATATGGACCAGTTGAACTTTGAACGGTCACTAAGTGAATTGTTGCAAGTCAAGGACTACCTGTACATGTCCAGTTCTCTTCTGGCAAAGCCAAGTTGCTTTGAAACAGGCAGGGATTAGGAGAGGCAGCATATCCACTTTTGCAAAATGGCAAAACAACCTATTGATGGCGGGAGGTGGGGTACTTTGGAGCGGATTTTTCCCCCTCTCTAATTCACATCTCACAAAAGCCCAGAACCACAAACGCTACGAGGGATTTCAAGGGCGGGCGCTGGGATGAGGCAGGGGCCGAGAGACTCTGTTGCGCTCTGAAGCAACAACGCCTTGCAAAACGTCGCGGTGCGGCTGACGAACTCGCGGCTGACTAGCGGGGCGGAGTTGGGCTGCTCTGGGGCTGGGAAATTCCGTTCACAAATTATACATAATGCAACTACAATCCACGCCACGCGTTGCCTAAGCTGACGACTCCCGTATCGAGGAGGGAGGGCCGCCTCTCCCTCGTGATCAAAGGGAGCAGCAGCGAAGCCGCCTTTCGTACCGCACGCAGAGGAAGTACAAAGGCAACGTATTATTATTTTGAAATAATAATAGCGTTCGGGAAGTGCCTCTGATATTTCTCCTGCCCCTTCCTGAAGCGCGCGTTGACTGCAGATTTCGACCAATATAAGGTGCCCACAAATCTGACCAGCGCAAGTCAGCAGCGCCCTCTGCTGTTTCCAGGGTGCCTCTGCAGAATCCCTTCAGGGATTTCTAGTTAACAAAAATAAATATATGAGACGAGAATCCCACCCAGTTACCTACATAGATTATACCTACGATGAATGTCTGCACCCGAATATGTATTTCTTTCCTTACCTCCCTCTCCTGTCTTTTCTTTCTCCCCCCAGAAAACAAAACTCTGTTCCCTTCACTGTTCTTTCTCTTTCCTGTTCCCCTGCTCTCCAGCCCACTGTTCTGACTTTTATCATCAATTCGCCTGTGGCCCCTCTCCAGTGTTCTTGAAAATTTTCCTGGATTGATTATTATTTTTCTAACCGATACAGATTTGTAGCATGTTGCTGTCACCATCTAAAGAGATTATGGTAGTGTCAGGCATATGTACTGATTGGATTCACACCTGCTGAAACGGCTTACATTTTAATTAGCAGGGTAAAGGAATGTAACTGCTGTGACTTATTGTTATAAATGAAATCTGAGTCTTAATCAATAGCTGTAGTAAAGCCTCAAAGTCATGGGAAGTGATAGTACCAGTGGAGGGATTCAAATATGTGAGCAACCTGTTCTCTCTGTGGATGCTGCTTCCAGAAGTCCATTCAGGGCCTGGGCAACAAAAAATTAGCTACCGGTTCTGCCGAAGTGGTGCAAACCAGCTGAATCCCACCACTGGATAGTACCATTCTGTATTATGCTGGTCAGATCACATTTGTCCACTTTTGGCTGAAGGAAAGGTAGGCTAGGCTTTGAGAATGGAATAATGCTAAACTGTTCTAGAGGTTTCTAATCCATTGTTCCAGTACCAGTTTTCAATTGGATATGTTCTTTTTTTCACTCCTCTTACATTGACTAGGCAAATGTAGGTGTCTTGTCTGTACATTTACTTAAGAGTCACCTGATCTACGGATGTAAGAGATCTCCAACCAAAATAATTATCATTTGTAAGCAATTTATGTTTATCAAATTCATACAGCTATCTAGCTCACCAAAGGCAACTCTGGGCGGTGCACAATTTCTGCTTCTGTACAACATGCGCACTTACGGTATTTTGTTATTGTCTGAAACACTGAAACCTATGCTTGCCACATGCATTGGATTTTCACAACGCACTAAGCTGAAAAATAGTGGGCTTGTTTCTGGTTTGGGGTTGTCTGACTACCATTAGTGAGAACTATCGCCTAAAATGATAGTTCTAATATTTGTCTTCCCAATTTATCCAGACTTGTTTTTAAAGGAACTTGCAGTCAGTAACTTGCAATCCAGGGTCTTAATTTTGTCTAGCTGCTTTTTAGTTGTACATTGGATGGAGCCAGGATTCATGAAACAGCGCGGAGGAGAAAGAACGTGTGAAATGGAGGCAATCTAGTGTGGTCAGTAGCACCTGTGCACCATCCCTCTGTGTCCTTATATATAAACTGTGTGGATACAGGCTGACTTGTGCAACCAAACCCTGCATAAAATTAGTATCTTTTTTTTTTAAAAAAAAAACAAAAACCTAAAATCAGCTATCTTTGAGAATCCTGGCACTGTGAAATGTACAATATTTATTTCTCAATCAAGAACTCACTATGATATCTATTTAAGGTCATTATGAAGTTAGGTTTGTTATTAGACCAGTGTTTCTCAACCTTGACAATTTTAAGGCATGTGGACTTCAACTCCCAGAATTCCACAGCCAGCAATGCTGGCTGTGGAATTCTGGGAGTTGAAGTCCACATGCCTTAAAATTGTCAAGGTTGAGAAACACTGTATTAGACCAATCAGTTTCACTCAGATGCTCATCTGACTCATATGCAGAGGATTGATACCCATTGACCGGTTCACAAAGATCAGGATGTTTCCCTTCAAATGAGCTTTATAATCCTCCTGAATGCTCCACACGTGGCTGATGATGCTGAATCAGTGGTCTGGATTGCCTTGTCAGCAGAGAGTCGCTGTTCTTATCCGCTTCTCTCTTTTGTACAAGTCATCAGGACCGTTTGGATACATCTAGTGCACAACTACACGCATGCCAGCACATTTTTTTGTTCGTTTGTTTCATGGCAAGGCCAAAATGTGCAACATTTTATTTTTTCCATATCTATTCAGTTCAGATGAATAATTGTAAAGCAAGTTTACTCATAATCGTAATGTTTCAAAAAAAACAAGTTTTAAGCTTTATTGACACAGAAATCTTCACAGAAGGGATTAAGTACTGCCTGTTATCCATTCTGCAATGACTGTTGAGAACGAGAGGAGGAATTTCAACAATATGGTTCAACCATAGACATACTGTAAAACACCAAGAAGACAGTTTCATACCATTCCTTGCAATCCCAAAAAGAAGCATCTTTCATTTATTGAGCTAGATTGGGACACCAATATATGAATGTACAGATGTGTGAAATGATCCATTTCTCCTCCAGGTGAAGAACTATGATATTATTGGGGCCCATTTCCCTCATAGAGTGACCCTGGGTAATATACAAGTAAGAATAAAAATAAAAAAGCTATATATAAATAGGCAGTTAAAAACAAAAATAAAACAATTAAAATTCACAGTCAAAAAGGCAGGGGAGGGGTTTCAAGGCACTAAGCAACCCCATGGTTTTGTGCTGCTTTGTGGGCCCCAAGCAAAACTCCAGAGCCGGGTCTTCGAGCATTTCAGAAAGCCAGGAGAGAGTACATACCAATGACATATCTGCTATATTACCAATAGAAGAGAATACATGCAGCTCATGGCTGAACTGTGGAGTCCTTGGTGTACTCTCTGAACTTGAATGTTTGCTTGAAGACATTTCATTATCTGACTCTGTAACATCATCAGTGCATTGGTGATCCAGCACCAATGATTTTTTTTCTAGTCAGGTAACAAAATGTCCACAAGCAAACAACCAAGCTCAGAAAACACAAGGATTCCACAACCATGCTATTCCTCTTTGGTTCCCTTATCTGTGCTAGCTTATTTGTGTTGGTAGAGGAACGGTACAATCTAAACAAAATGTGAGTGGCACCTGCTAAGAAAGGCCTTTCTCTAGCTCTGATTTCTTAAGAAGCCAAGTTTCTTAATTTAGGCCAGAGGTACATAGGTTGAACCCAGATGACCTGTAGCTTTCAAAAACAACAGCCATTGCCTCCTCAGTTACCACACTGTACTGCTTAAAGTGAAAGAAGATGAAAATATTAAAAATAGGAGAGCAAGCAAATTCAGCACCTTAAAATAAAATGTGATTTAAATGGCAATTTTAGTTCCAATTAAAATGTAAATGAAATGAAATCAGTAGATGTTTTGCCATCTATTACTCTTCAGAGTACTAAATACTCTTAGTACTTCATTCAGATCCTGTGGCCGTCATCCCCAAAAGAAGTTATGGGTTTGAGAGAATCCCTTTACAATTTTTGATTGGGTTTGTTAGGTCCTTGGAAACTAATAAAATGAAAATGGATATATATCTCAATGGATTTTCAGGGAGCTTGTTTTTCTATTCCCATTGACCCTCTGCCTCTTTTTATGGCTCCCTCTGGTGTGATAAAAGTGAGCAATTGTATCAGTTGCCGAGCCATGACCCCAAGAACAGTATTTCCAGGAATCCCCTTCTTATCTTCTAAGGGATTCCTGGGAAAACTGGACCCCGAGGACATAGTGAGTTTGGGCTCTGATCTGGGTGGGATTCTCTTTAATTTGCTCCTTCCCTTCTGCTGCTGCGTAGTAGTGGTTCCTTCAATGTCTATTTCCACTGGGTGGCAGCAGTCAGAAGATGATTTGGTAGAACTAGAAGAGTCCGATGCTTCCTGGGCTGTGATTCCTTTTTTCAAAATATGAATGATTTGAGAAACCCTCCTCGCCCCTGGTCAGAAGAGGAGTCCATTTGGGTCATCTGCTTTTTTTTTTTTTTTTTTTTTTAACTATATGCTGTTGTGAACTTCACTTCTTCTCAAACCAGAAGGCCAGTTGCCTTGCACCATATTCCCCCATGATGCCTGGCCAGACAGAATGGGCTTCGGTGTTTGTAGCATTCGCTGCTGCAATCTGTCATTTTCTCCACGCTGTTCCTCAACCCTGTGGAAGTGTTGTTACCTCCTGGATCATACCTGCCCCGGGTTCTTACCTCTGGGTGCTTGACTTGAAAACATGGGAGAGGAGAGCAGGGCTGGTCCTTTTCTTTCCGTGGCCTTGTTTCTCCCTTCCTGAGCTACAGTGCTTCATCTCAGACTCACAACTGACCAGAGATGCAGCACTGCACCTTAGGCTGGGAGACATTGAAGTCATCAAAGCGTCCATCTTGGAAGCAGTTTTCTCTCACATGAGCTGTCGCAGAGAGGTTAGGCAGTCACCGAGAAGAAGAATACAGGATTTGGAGCAACCTACAGTTTTTAAATTTTCTAGTACTTTTTTTGTTCTTACTACTTTCCCCCGCACTCCCGAATCAAGTTGCTTACTGAGAGTTCCTGAGCATCTGCCCAGGAAGCCCTGAGCTTTGCAAAGGGATTCTTCAGACCTGTTATTCATAGCAAGTACCAATCACATGCACTGATTAAAAAAAATCAAAGTTAAAGTAGAGAGTTTTATGGGGCCTTTGCTGTAAGAAATATGGTTTTAATACAATGACTGGACATTTTTGCAGGATTTTCCTTGTAGGAAGTTAGATGACAAAATTAGCAGTATGGAAAATGCTTCTTGGACAAGGCCGTATCTGTATAGGTACCAAGGCACCTTTCAGATGCATTTGCAAAAAGATGTCTCACTTTAAAAATAACAGCATGGTGTCATAATGATTAGCATATCTAATTTAGTTCAAGAAGACCCACGTTCAGATCTTCCTGTAGCCAGAAAACCCTGACTGGATGATCTTGAGAAAGTTTGCTAAGCCTAAACCTTTAATGGTGGCTACAATTGTTTCCTTATTTTTTTAAAAAAAAAATACAATAAATAAATATAGTTGAAGAGATTCAAGTTATATGGAAGGCAGAAAATAGTTGGGAAAGTTCTCTGAATCTCTTGCTTTACAACAGTTCCATTTTATGAGCATGTACCCAACAATAACAGGATGTTTAGCCTGGTGTTGTTGATGCTCAGAATAAACAGATTAGTTTTGATCTTGTGAATATTTCTCAACACTGAAATTGAGAGCAGTAGAAATTCTGCCAAGGGGTAACAAGCATGTAGGCTTCTTTTCTTTTCAGTGTCAGCTTTGTTGGTGTTTCTGAATATTTGTTGTTGTTATTTCAAAGGCATTGCTGTTGTTGTATGATAAAATTATATATGCATTTTCTACCTAGACCCTTCCTGGCTCTCATAAAGTGGATGCAAATTGAAGCCGCACTCAGAGTAAATGTGGTGGCTGATCGAACAGTGTGCTTGAACAAACATTTCAGCCACTATGGGAATGTTAGATTAGCTTTGCTTGGCTATGTTGAAATAAGTCAGATGTGAGATAATCAGCTTGATGTTTGTCTGCTTAAAAGCTGAAATCCATAGCCATATAAACAAAACTGTAGTTTAGCTATCCCCTGACTTATATGTTCATGCCTGTTCCAGTGATACAATTGTGTTTGGAAGCAAGGGATAGATGTAATTCCAGATAGAGGTCAGACCCAGGACGTACTGAAGGAATTAATGTTACAATCTTTTCATCTTTTGAGTAAAAGACCAACTGAGAGAGACTATAAAATAAGCCATGACCTGGGAATTCATTTAAGTTTCTCTGGCTTTCCTATGTACAGATCGACCCAGAAAGGGAGATTTTGACTTCATGCACTAAATGAAGAGGTGAACATAAGATCAAGCAACACTTTTTTCCAGGGAAAAGCTAACATCCTGTGTTAGCCTGACAAGAGCTTGAAGTATGGTAAACAGAGCATCTGTCATAACCGCATCCTCACCCTGCTGTCCAGCAACCTCCGTCATCAGGAACAAGCACTTCACAACAACTTGACAAGAAGCAGATGGCAGCTCCAGGGGCTGCAGCTCCATTCTTGCTGTTAGGCAGCCTCTCCTTTCTCTCTGCTCTAGCCTTGGTCCTTGGAAGCTCTTGGATCACAGCATCCTCACCAGCTTCCTCCATCGACACAGCGAGAGGTGAGGATTATGCCATGAAGATGGAGGGAGAGATGGGAACCAACTATAGCACATGTAACCTACGAAGCTAACCAAGCAGAGACACAGTGACCCTCCAAAAAGACACAAGAAATTTGGTTCTTCTTTTTCTTTCCAGCCATCACACTTGTTACACAAAATGAGGAAATATGGAAAAAAATGGCAAAAAGATTTTTATAGCATTTTCCAGACACTGAAAGGCAGTGCTGGTTAAGATGCAAGCAGCAATAGGCTTTGCATTAGAACCCCTGCTGAGACTAAGAAACTTTCCAGATACTCTAATTTCTTATTGTAATATGCACTCCTGCATATGCTGATGCACTTTTCTCATATTTTCAACAATCAAATCCTCAGTAGCTCTGCGTTCATAAGCCTGTACTTTTGCTACAACTGAGCCTTTCTAAGTTCTAAATCCATAGTTAGATTGGACAGATTGACATTCAAGACTGGTAAACCATTTGAAAATTATATATATCAAAACCTCAAATGGGTAAGGTCTCTGTTTCAGGAAGCTTGCCAAATGCATTATATTCAGCCGAGAATAAATTTGGGTTGATGAATGTAAAATAATAGCCAAATTTAGGAATGAGCTGCAATGAGTCAAAGGAAAATGAAACATCAAATCGTTTCCAGAGGAGAGGAATCTGCAAATGTAGAAAAGAAAAATGAAGAGCAGGGTTCAAGAGTTATTTGTTATTGATGGTGGCATCTATAATTGTTTTCCTTGCTGCAACTTTTTTTTTTTTTAAATAAACCCTCCTAAACCACAATGTTTCTAAATTGGTATTTGGCTAAGAAGATATATGATCATTTAACAGACCAAGTGATCACACTGAGCTGTGTTTGGGGCTATGGCTATAGTGTTACACTATAGAATTGAAATGACTCAGTATCACTTCCTTTCCTCTTTGAGCTCTAGGAACTTTAATTTCTATGACAGAAAAAGCGATGGGCTACATCCATATATAAAACATGTAAGCCTGGGTTTCAGTATCGTTGAACAAGTCAGAGTCCACGTGCATGGCTAAAATATAAGGTTCATATGTCATGCTGTTATGTCTTAATTCTCTGTGTAAACCAGGCCATTGACTAGGGACAGAGAGACATTGCATGGTATGTAATAGAGATCTCGGAAAGGTTCAGATTATTCCAAATTTAATTCCCATAATTGGTTATGGCAGCCTTCCTCAGTCAGGGATCTTTTGGATGTATTAGGATTGCAAATACCTAAGAAGCCTGGTTGTAGGCTCGGAGTTATGGCAGTTGGAGTCACAGGACACTTGGAAACTGCCAGCAGGGAAAGGTTGCTTTAAAGCAGGCTGAGGAATTCTGGGAGTTGAAGTCCACATCTTAAGGTTGTTGAGGTTGAGAAACATGGTGTTAGACAAATTTAGGACAATGGAATGGTTTGTTCTGATACTGATGCAGTTCAGTTGTGTGGATGGTGATTTTTAGGAGCATCATCTGCTGTAGCCAGACAGGTGGCTGATCTAAAAAGAGCCTTAGATAATTAAGTTGGTTGACTCATATAAATATCATATCAGGTGGATGTGGACATAGATGGGACTCAATGAGGTATGAGGGAGAAAGCCTTGTGTGAAAATTACTGTGGACCAGAGAAAAATTTCTGTTTGGCTGAAGGCTTAAGCCAGTGATGGAGAACCTTTTAGAGACTGAGTGCCCAAACTTCAACCCAAAACCCACTTATGTATTGCCGGATGCTGGGTGGGCGTGGCTGCCAGGTGGGTGTGGCTACAGTGGTCATAGCAGATGGGTGGGCGTGGCCAGGGTGGGCATGGCCAGCTCGATGTTGCTCCTGGGGAGGGACGCCTGTGGGGGCCGGGCAGGGTTGGGAAAGATCCAGGAGTCTGTGGCGGGTGGGGCGATGGGCAGGAGGCTGGTTCTGCAGGGTGAGGCGAGGCAGGGCGGGGGTGCCATGTCAAAGGGCAAGGCGAGGCAGGGGCCGGGGCAGCTGCTGCCTGACACCATCGGCCCCCACACACAAAGGCCAGCAAGCACATGGGTGCTGGGATGCATCTGGCCACGTGGGACCCCAGCAAGTTAGCGGGCGGCTGGTTGAAGAGGACTATTGCCATCTCCAGGGCATGATGCGCATGCCTACAGAGAGGGCTCCAAATGCCACCTCTGGCATGCGTGCCATAGGTTCGCCACCACTTGGCTTAAGCCATCTTCTAAACTTGGATCCTTCAGTTGATTTGGGCCAAAGAGTCCAGGATGTTCCTGGACATTTTGGAAATTGCAGTCCTATCACATCTGGATGAAACCAAGCAGAAGAAAGCTCACCTCAGACTATAGTCAGATGATTCTATTTAGAAATCTTCTGCTAGGAATGTATGCCTAGGGAAAAAAGAAGCTTATAAACGAGGAAATAACTACAGCAATTCCCCCATCCCACCTCACCTCTGAGATATGGTTCAGTTTTTTAGTTTGAGCTCAGCAGGATATTTATTATACCCAGTCCATGCTCAAAGAATTATTATACCATGAATCTGCTCATATAAGATGAATGGACTGTGCTGAATATGTATATCTATATATTAAATATGAGTTCAACATGAATGTGTGGAGAGATTTGCTGGTGTTCATATGAGCAGCATACAAAAAACCAAGCAAAAATAAAACTAATATCCAGAAACGAGCTCAGCATTACCTATTGCATCTCAACAGCTAGCCTATGAACAATGAAATCTTGGCTTCAGGCAGTGGTGGGATTCAAATCTGTAAACAACCGTTTCTCTGTGTGGATGCCGCTTCTGGAGGTCCATTATGGACCTGGGCAACAAAAAATTAGCTACCGGTTTTGCCAAAGTGGTGCGAACTGGCTGAATCCCACCACTGGCTTCAGGGCATATTAAAAGATATAAAGTAAAAATGACAACGAAAGCAGTGTTTTGAGAAAACACCGGTCACAACCCCCCTGTGCGCAGGTAAACTGAGATTGTTTTCTGCTCCTCGGTTTCTGTTCCTTTGAAGGCTGACTCTCCACTCTTCCCCACAAAGCTGCTGCTTCTCATCCACATGTCAGAGCCCTTCCTATAAGAAACAGAGAAAAGAACTATCAATCACCAGGAATCAGAAAAGAACTACCCTGCCAGGAAGGATGCCATATATCAGTCACCATTTCTTTACTTATTCTGTATATTGCCAACTAGACAATCCTGATATTAATACAGCCAACCTGGGACTTCTAGGACTATTGACAACATTGGATTATTATTATTATTATTATTTAAAAAACAACATCACATTAAAGGGCAATTCTAAAATGGTGTCAAGACTGCATGGATGAAGTCAGCTGAAGTCGAGCTTGACAGTAGATTGCCTTTATCCTTGGGAAGTTATGAGAGAAGATTTTTTTACATGTACGTTGTGTAATTGGTCACCCTCCTCAGTTTCACATAAGAAATCCCTGGATTGAGGTCAAAACTAGAGAAGGGGCTACTTATTTCAAGTACTTTTGAAGGCTAGAATTTCTAGTCCTCTAAAAAAATCAATCACTGTATCGGATTAGTACAGAAGACCATCAAGTCTACTTAAATGAAGCAGGTGCCCCATCCCCACTGGAAATGTACTGAGCAAGCAAGGAAGAAATATCTCTCTACTGCTTTCTCTAGTACAGTGTTTCTCAACCTTGACAATTTTAAGGCATGTGGACTTCAACTCCCAGAATTCCACAGCCAGCATTGCTGGCTGTGGAATTCTGGGAGTTGAAGTCCACATGCCTTAAAATTGTCAAGGTTGAGAAACACTGCTCTAGTACCTACCACTCCGACACATATTGCCTCCCAATGTAAAATATTTATTTGTAACGGGATAGTAACTGATACATAGATATTTCAATATAGTAACATAATAAACACTAATACCTTAGTGCAAACTATAGATAAAAACCCAAAATCCTGCACGGTAACACACAATGAAGTAAAGTCTACAAACACTTTGGTTACTGGACAACTACCTGGTCCATGTTCAATTTATATGAATTGGCAGACTATGTTCACGTATTTGGAAATAAGCCTGCTCAAACTCAATACTTGTAAATGTGTGATTGTGCTGTGAAACACAATATTGAATGAGCTATTAGACTTGCTCCCTCTCCCTCTCCTTCTCTCTCCTCCAGTAACTGGTGCTTTTGGTCCTGTACAAAATATTACCAATAGAATCTGTGCAAAAGATTTGCTGATAAAATTGAATCCAGGGACACTGTGAGTCACCGTTTGTTTTCTGGCAATGTTGGTTTCTGTCCCCCCCCACCTCAGAATGGCTTCTTAATGCATAATTCTAACACCCACCCACCCCAAGAAAGAACTGCTTTTCAAAGAAAAAGTGCTACTTTAGCAAGAAGGAATTGATCTACTCCTTTGATGCTCTGACAGTTAAATGATGTTACTGCCACAATGTGCAACTGGCAGAGGTAGCTATATGAAGCCATTGGATAAAGTCATCCAAAACTTTGGGGTGTGGCATCATCAAAATGCTGATGATGCCCAAGTTTATTTCATCGCCCCATCCCACAAGGGAGTTGCTGTCAACATCCTGGAGGACGGAAATGTCTGGATGGAAGAGAATAGATGATCACTTAACCCTAATAAGGCAGAAGTATTGTTTACATAAGGGGGTTCTCTGCTGATGCTAGGATTCTCTTTGGATGGACAGGCACTGTCCTTGAAAGAGCATGTTCACAATCGGGTGGTCCATCTGCTCCTGTTTGAACAGCAGGTGAAGAACATGACTAAAAGAACATTTGCCCAACTTTAGCGGGTGCACCATTTTCAACTCTACCTGGCGCAAGAAGACCTAGCTAAAGTAGTTCATGGCACTATTCACTGCTTGATTAGATTATTGCTTTACATGGGACTACATTTGAAGAATGCTTGGAAACTACAGCTGATCCAGATTGTAATGGATCAGATAGTTACCAGGTTCCCAACATTTGGAACATGTAACCTCCATGCTGCAGGCTCTGGACTGGCTATTGATAAATTTCCAAGCATGATTTAAAATGCTGATATTGAACCATAATCCCCTTTGAGTCTTGGCTTCTCCCAAATGTATCAGCCCAATTTATCAGATTTTGTGGAAAATATCTGAGAGTAATTCAATCATCCAGGAGATAGGGAATGCTGTATTTCTCTTTAGCAGCCCCTTTGCTTTGGAACCGGTCCAATTGGCTTGTTCCCTCCCTCCCTCTTGACCTTTAGAAAACTATTAAAAATGACTAATTCAGAAAGCATTTTCATGATCAGGCTAACTAAAATTAGTTCATCTGAAAAGTGATTCATTGAAATTCTTGCACCACTCTTACTATTTCACTCTTATTTAGTTACGGCACTTAACACTGACGCTCTAAATTATTGTTTAAATGGTTATTCCACTGTATTCATTATAAGTTGCTGACCGTCTATTGATTATGGGAGAGTATAAATCCAATAAACAAACTAACAAAGGCTTGAAAAATCTGGGTGAACACTAGATAGCCCCAAAGATTTAGAATTTTCTGTATTTCTTTGGTGTCATCCAATAGTCATTTTATTTATCAATTTATTTGTCTGTTAAATTTATATATTTTTTTACTTTTGTTTTATTGTTTGTATCCATCTTTATTATTTTTATAAATAACTCAAGGGGCTGAACCTACATAATATTCCTTCCCCTCCTATTTTCCCTGCAACAATAACCCTGTGAGGTGATTTTGGGCTGAGAAAGACAGCGATTGGCCCAAAGTTGCTTTCATGCCTAAGGCAGGATCAGAACTCACAGTTTCCAGGTTTCTAGCCTGGCTCCTTAACTGGTACACCAAACTGTGCTAACTATCTGATACTACAAGCAACTCTGGGTGGTTTTCTAATGGACACAAGTGATTGAACATAGAACTAACATGTTTTCCTTGCTTTTGCCCCTTACATGCAGATGCTATACCTATTAAATCACCTGAAGTGTGGAAATTCTGTCAAAATAAAACAAAAGTTCCATTAAACAGAAATGTATAATGTAAACCATGAAACCAAAATAAGGTCTTGCTGGTCCAAGTCACCAATGAAAAAAGAAAAAGAAAAAAACTATACAGGGTAGCCAAGAGCATAAGTAGCAGTGAGACCTATGGAATTTAAAAGACCCCAATGGAGTGTCTTTTTTTGTTTCTTTCAAAACTCTTTGAATAGAAAGCAGCTAATATTATAAGGTTGTTCTAGGTTCAGCAGAATACGGCTCAGATACAGTTCCTGTTTGATTCTGTCCTGTCTCTCCCTCAAAGCTAGCCATGAATGTGACCCACAAGGCTCTATGGAAAAATAAACACTCCTTTGATCCCAGGTCCAAATCAAGTTCTCAGCTGGTTGCCCTTGGGAAGTTGAAGTCATGGGTGAATTGTCCCCACATTCCCTTAGAATGGAGTGTGGCCGGGCATCCTACAGTACTTGGAACAGAAGCATCCCTCGGGAAGTCATTCCAGTTCTGATGCTGGATGGGAAAATTATTAAGGACTTTCAAGACAGTTTGTAAATAAGCCTACAGTTATCGCCACATTCTGTGGGAAAGATGGGCGCTCATTTTTCCATTTTTGAGTAAAACATTGTGTCTGCCTTGTGAACATCACAAATTGCTGTAAGCCGTCATGGGAAGAGAGAACATGGTTCTGGGTGGCCTCTGTCACTTCTCTCAAACCTAAAACATCAGCTTAGGTTGAAGCTGTAACCTGAAAGCTATGGGAGATGTAGTCCCAACACTTTCATCAGGACAACTTTAGAGAAGATCAATGAATTTCAGTCCTCTTTTTGAACGAATGAAGACACTTAGTGAAATAGTGACAACTTTCTAAATACACTCACTGAAACCCCTCAGAGGTAGCCTGGGAGCTCATGTGAGTGATGTCTCTCTGTTCATTTATAATACGCAGACTGCTTTTTTTTTTTTTTTACTGTAGCAAATAAGTCAGGTGATCTGTTTGTCATGAAAGATGGCAAAGACTGGGAGAAGCAGCACTGGAATATTAGGAATATTGATACTCAAGTAAATCTGCATGTTGCTTGTCCTTTAGGGAGAGAATAACGGAATAGACCATAAAAAGGTATTCAGAGATAGGTTAAGGATACATAAAAGATATGAGTTGTCCACTAGTGAGGGACACACTCTGTTTCTCAATGGTATATCATAGGTCCCATTCCAAACACCAGTTGAAGTCAGGAAAATTAACTATGCACAGCTAGGACAAAGCTAAATGTAATATAAAAGTTTACATTTAAATAGCATTAAACTAATGAAATACTATTAATATGACTATTTTTTAGTGGGACTCAGCCAGTTTGCATCAGTTTGGCAGAACCAGTAGCTAATTTTTTTGTTGCCCAGGCCCAGAATGGACTTCTGGAAGTGACATCCACACAGAGAACCGGTTGTTCACATATTTGAATCCCACCACTGCATATAAAGTTCTGGAAACTTGCAACTGCATATTGTTTGATTTTTCTCTCTGCTTAATTTCCTTCTTCCCCCAAATCAGAGATCCAGGAGAAGGAGGTGACTTGCATTTGCCATTGCCTCCTCCATTCACCTAGCCTTCTATAAGTTCAATTTCTACAAGAATTGCAACCGTTATTCCCAAAGATTAGTGCAAAGGAAGTTCAGCCCAGTTCCAGTGACCCAGTGGTTAAATTCTATTTCTTCCAAGAAAGTGATTAAGACCTAGAACAGGGGTAGTCAACCTTGGCTCTTTTATGACTTGTGGACTTCAACTCCCAGAATTCCTGAGTCAGGAATTCTGGGAGTTGAAGTCCACGAGTCATAAAAGAACCAAGGTTGATTACTCCTGACCTAGAAAATTAAGGCTGAGTAAGAAGCTCACAATATCCAACAAGAACAATCTATTTGCCTCATGTTGTCATAGCCTCCCCCACTTCTCTGCTGAATAAATCTTGAGGTTTTTACACATTGTTGTGACTCAAAAATGAGACTAGTTTATCAAGTTCCAAGATTGGCAGCTCAACTAAGGTACAGAAGGAAGAGGAGGCAGAGTACAGTAGGCCAGGACAAGGGTC